ATACTGTGGTCAGCTCTTCACAAGACATGAGAGGAGAGTAATAGTGAGTTACCACGTGTATCAGTGTTTGAGTTTGCGTAATTGTCAGGGGAAGCTATTATTCCATGTAAAAAGAGAAACCTAGAACTTAATGGAGTGGCCTTGGGTCCTGTCTGCTGTCTGGAGTGTTCCTGGGACACCTGTGCTCCCTTTGCCAGTTACCCAGGTCTTGTGGTGACCAAGCTCTGAATCTGCTAGAGCATGGTGATAGGACCGGGCTTTCCTCGGATGGTTTAGATCACACAGGAATGTGCTCTGTGCCTCTCTGGCCTATCTAGAGGAGGTTCATGCTGACTATGAAAGAGGGCATTCCCAAGAGCATCTGGTGAAGGCTGCCATTTCACTTGGCCCGCAAGACTCTAGACTCCACTTTTTAGGTAAGTGGCTTACGTATGTTAAAAGATACTGAATAAGTGGCTGGTGTATTTCGTGTAAGTGCAGGACATCCCTTTGTGTGCCCCTTGCCATACATTTTCTTTCTGTTTTTTTTTCTCCTCCCTAATGGGGATAGAACTTAGGACCTTGTGCCTGCAAGGCAGGTGCAGTGCCACTGAGCTAAATCCTTGGCCCCCATGCCATGTATTTTCTGCGTCTGAACGTTGAGAAGCTGTAGAGGTTGGCCCTTTATCCCACAGTAGATTGGCAGGGATAGGGAGTTGGTATGTTCCAGAAACAGTGTGTTTTCCTCCGATATCAAATTCAGCTGTTCATCATAAAGAGTCATAGTGTCCAAGGTGTTTCAGTGTTTCAGTGTTTCATCCTGCCCATAACTCCCTAAATCTGAGTGGTCTCAGCAGTTGAATCTGGATTTGTACCTGGCAGTTCTTAAAGGCTGTGAATTTTTACAGAGCTTGATATTTTGCTCTTTCTTCTCGATGCTCTAGGGTTCTTTTTTTTAAAAGATAAGGTCTTGCTATGTAGTTCAGGCCAGTCTTGAGCTCACTATGTATCCCATGCTGACCTTAAACTCCTGGTGATCCTCCTGCCTCAGCATCCCAAGTGCTGGGATTACAGGCGCGCACCAACATGCCCGGCTCTGTGTGGTTCTTTTAAGAAATAAAAATCATGTCATTCTACCAGCACAGCATCTCCTCAGCATTCTAATGGGAGTTCTGTGGTATGGCTTTTGTGCTTTGCCTCGCAGGACACTTTGGCCTGGACTTCTCACATTTGGCTGAGTGCACTTACTCCCTGCCTATTTGCAGTGACTCTCTTAGCCTTAGGTGTCTTTCCTAGGAGGCCTGCCATGTACCCACACCCTCACCTTCCACCTCCTTGGATCCCCTGCTGAGTGCCGGTCTTCTCTCCACAGATCCGGATGGCCAGTTGTACCACATGCCACCTGCCCAGGATGAGGAGCCTCCTACCTGCACTGATGAGTTTGATGACTTTGTCACCTACGAGGCAAGTCTGGATGCTCCCCATCTTCCTCTGTGTGCTGTACATCTTGCTTCCTGAGCCTCCTGTTGCAGTTTTCAGAGATGATATGAAGAGAAGGGGGGCTAGATAGAGGTCTCTGGGGATTCTTGGCTGTGGCAGGAGGTCAGTGTCTGTTTTACGTGCAGCTCTCAGGGAGGGGGGTGGGTTGTGTGTGGGAGTCCTCCCTGGAGCAGAGGACAGGTGCGTGATAGGGCTCTAGGTGATACTGCTATCACCTGCCAGTCGAGGGCAGAGGAGAAGGCTCGGAGATTTCCTTTTATGGAACCTCAGATGGTTTTCTGTGTTGGGGGATATTTGATTAATTCCTGCTCCTTCATACTCCATCCCTTGCTCCCAGGTGCAGCCAGGGTTGTCATGGTAACATGACATCTTCTTTGTGAGTCTCTTGTCAGTATAGCTGAGCAGAAGGTCACAGTCAAGGAAAACAGGCCAGTCACTGTACCCAGCAGACTAGACCTAGTCCAGGGTCTTGGGGGCCAAGTGGCTGGATCCGGATTGTTTTCTTTTTCTTTTTCTTTCTTTCCTTTCCTTTCCTTTCCTCCTTTTTTTTTCTTTTGGCACTGGGGATTGAACTCAGGTCCTTGTGTTTGCGAGGCAGGTGTGGTGCCACTGAGCTAAATCTCCAGCCCTGGATTGTTTTCTTTATGAAATCTGTGGAGCCTCAGCTACTCAAGAGGCCCACTGCTGCCAGCCTTCTGTTGCTCACTGTCCAGGAAGAAGGGCAGAGCCAGGAGCCGGGGGCCCTGAAGTGCCTTACTTCAGTTCTCTGAGCCTTGCCTCTTTCGTCACATGAGGGTTATGTCCAGTAGGGTCCAAGCCGGGCAGCTTCTGAGTTCAGTGGCCAAGGGGCCCAGGGTTGCCACTGCTGACTTTTGTGCTTCCTCTCTGTGCTTGCTCTGGGAAGCTGCCCTAGCTATTGTCATCCTCTGGTAGCCAGATTTATTTCCTGGCTGCCTGTTGCTTTGGCCCACACAGACCCCAGCTATCTGAGAGCCATCGCCGTTCCCAGCTTTGTCCCAAGGAACAAAGAGGGCCAGAGTCCTGCCTTGTGTTCCTAGTTGGGCTCTGCCTGGCTTGTTCATCCTGCCTGTGCCTGGTGAGTTTCAGAGTGTGGAGCAGGAAGGCACCTCAGGTTTTCAGATTCTGATTTCTTTTTTATTGTTTGGTACTGGGATCGAACTTGGGACCTTGTGCTTTCGAGGCATGTGGCAGAACCATTGAGCTGAATCCCTGGCCCTTCATTTCTTCTTTAGAATGGTGTAAACGTTTTCTGAGTTTTTATTACCTTTTTTTTTCTTTTTTTGAGGCAGGTCTTGTTGTGTAGTTCAGACTGGCCTTGAATTCACTATGTAGCTGGGGCTGGCCTCAAAGTTGCAGAGATCCTCCTGCTTCAGCCTCCCAAGTGCTGGGATTACAGGCATGTGCCACTAGGCCTTGCTTTTATTACCTATTTTTAACAGGTTTTTATTTTATTTTATTTTAGTACCAGGGATTGAACTCAGGAACTCAGGACCCTGTGGCCCCACTGAGCTAAATCCCCAGCTTTTTTTTTTTTTTTTTTTTTTTTTTTTTTTTTTTTTTCGGGGTT